GACCTAAATATAAAATGTAAAGTTATAAAATTCTTAGAAAAGACAAGAGAAAATCCTTCGTGTCCTTCAGTTAGAGTTCTTATGTACAACACCAAAATCATGATCCATAAAAGAAAAAAGTAGTTTAAAAATTAAAAATATTTGCTATGAAGAAGATACTGTTAAGAGAATAGAAAGACAAGCCACAGATTCAAAGACAATATTTACAAATCACATTCAGACAAGGACTTATATCTAGAATATATAAAGAACTCTTAAAACTAGGCTAGATGTAGTGGCTCATGCCTGTAATCCTAGCACTTTGGGAGGCCAAGACAGGAGGATCACTAGAGGCAAGGAGTGAAAGACCAGCCTGGGTAACATAGTGAGACCCTACCTTTACAAAGAAAAAAATTTTTTTTAATTAGCTGGAAATGGTGGTGCACACCTATAGTCCCAGATACTTGGGAGGCTGAGGCGAGAAGATTGCTTGGGCCCACGAGTTTAAGGCTGCAGTGATCTATGATCACACTACTGCATTCCAGCCTGGGCAACATAGCAAGACCCTGTCTCTACAAAAAAAAAAAAAAAGACAGGAAGAAACAATATTTGAATACACCCTTCACCAAAGATATTCAGATGGTAAATAAGTACATGAAAAGATGTTCAACATTATTAGTCACTGTGGAAATGAAAATTAAAACCACAATGAGATATGCACCATTATGTACCTATTAGAATGGTTAAATTAAAAATACCAACAATGTTTATTGTTAGCGTGGATGCATAGCAACAATAACTTTCATATATTGCTAATGGGAAGATAAAATGATAACAGCCACTCACTCACTCTGGAAAGCAGTATGGTAGTTTCTTAAAATGTTAAATGTGTACTTACTATATAACTCAGAAATCTCACTTCTAGATATTTATCCTAGAGAAATGAAAACTTATATTCACACAAAAACATGTACACAAATATTTATAGCGGCATTATTCATAATTGACAAAAACTGGAAATAATTCAAATGTCCTTTAATGGGTGAGTGGATAAATGAACCGTGGTATATACACGTGATGGAATACTGCTCAGCAGTAAAAGGGATGAACTTTTGATACATGCAACAACATGGATGAATTTCAAATGCATTATGCTAAGAGAAACAACCCAGGATCAAACAGTTACTATATTAATTGGGTTCTCCAGAGAAACAAAACCAATAGAATATATATAGATATATTGACTCATGTGATTATGGAGGCTGAAAAGTCACACGCTATGCCATCTGCAAGCTGGAGGACCAAGAAAGCAAGTGATGTAATTTAGTCTGAGTCCAAAGGCCTGAGAATCGGGAGCTGGTGCTACAATTTTCAGTCCAAAGCCAAGAGAGGGGAGGGTATGCTGGTAAGTCCCTCAGTCCAAAGACCAGAAAACCAGGAGCTCTGATATCAGAGGGCAAGAGAAAACAGTCCCAGCTCAAGAAGAGAGAGAGAATTTGCCCTTCCTCTGCTTTTTTTTCCATTCAGACCTCAACAGATGTGATGAGGCCCACCCACATTGATGAGGGTGGATTTTCTTTATTCAGTCTACTGATTCAAATGTTAATGTCTTCTGGAAACACCCTCACAGACACCTCCAGAAACAATGATTTACCAGCTATGAGGATGTACCTTAGGCCAGTCAAGTTGATGCATTAAATTAATTATCACAGTTATATACTTTATGATTCCATTTACATGACATTCTGGAAAAGGCAAAACAAAAACAGAACAGATCAGTGGTTGCCAGGGGTTAGGGCTGGGAGGTCT